AAGTTCCATTAAAAAAACGGTATACTTATTTACGTGAGGAATGATAAGATCTAACGCCATGGTGGACATGATACTTTTACCATCGGTAATTAAGGTTTTGCGATTAAGTCGTGGCTGAATCACATATAAAAAGTGTCGTTCGGTACATTTGATCGAAAGATCGATCTGTTAGATTCAGATATGAAAGAAATTCTTTAAGGGTGGTGTATTTCATATCGATATTATTCAATTTTAACTGATTCTCTTCTCCGTAAACTTTATTCAAATGCATTTAAGTATCGTCACTAAGTATCTTCATTAGGATCTAGTACAACACTAAGCCTTGTTTCACAGATGCCTTAGCCCTGCTAAGTTGCCGTGGGTACTTAGAATGTGTGCTGATTAAAGTGTTCGGTAGCAGTATCGAACTTCGGAGAAATTATTAAGTCGATGATCTCCGATGTAAGTGGCTGGTCTACTTTGTTAAGTCGACATCGTTAGCAAGTAAATATTTTAAAACGTTGATGGCAATTTATAATCCGATCTGTACCGAGATTGATTTTTAATTTTACCGATACCTTTTTTAAGTTTAAGCTACGTACTTTCGATCAAGTTAAAATTTTCCTGGAACACGCTCAATTTTGGTAACGGATTGGATGGTTATTAAGAACGAAAAGTAAATAAACACGCAATAAGTATCTGAGCTACATTCAGCTTACCTGCGATGGATCTCATCATTTGTTTTCATAGTGATAGAGTAAATAGACTTTGTATGTTTCTACCTCGTATAAAATTTTATATTTAAGCTAGCGGTAAATATTAACAAAAACTGTACTGTGTTTAAATAATTATTTATTTGCAGACAAACGTGTTTCTAAGGTTTCTTTGTAATTGTTGAGAGTTTTAATAGGATTTTTTAGTTTCAGAAAACAATGTAATTTGGAAGCCTGTAAAATTCTTTAAAGAAAAATAATATAGGATTATAGCACTATTCTTTATCAAAAAAGCGTTGTTATCGAAAGAATGTAACTTTTTAATTTTGCTTTGATACTTCTAAGGTGCGATGGATTATTTTTTGAGGCTTCACTTACAAATACGAGTATAGCGATTAGATAAAAAATCCTTCGACTGGAATCACCAACATCAAAAAGGAATGGATATTCAACGTGACTTTTACCCGACTGCGAGACGTAGAAGGGGGGTGATGTGTTTATTGTAGGTACATGGGTTTACTTTCTGTGTCTGAAGTATGTTTTGGTATTCCTCTCTAAATCTAAAATTAATCACAAAAGCGACTGAGTAGAAAGTATTCCAGGAACATAACAATATATGAAATTCATGAAATACCTAGGTTCAAAACATGAAATACATTTAAACTTTGGTGACTTAGACTAAGATTTCAAACTGATTTTGAATGTCTTGTTACGTTATTCTATTAATTACCAAACAGAAAATCAATCTGTGCAGCACAATAGGGCCGCTTATCGGGCCGGCCGGCGTTGCGCTGCGGTCGGCTCAGCCCCTTCTGCCATCAGTCATTCAAATTGAAACCCACGCCACGCGCGAAATTGAGACCAAATACGTATTAACGAGGAACAAACTTTACTAGATGGCTGGACAATGACTACATATTATTTAAAATAAGGTAAACTTAAAAAAATAGGTAAGTCAGAGTTAAGTTGCGGTGCCGGAGCGTTGTCATTGCATAGAAATATCTGTGGCGACCACACAAGGTGACACAAGCGCGGCGGTGCGAAGGCGAAATCTTTCACGGTGCGGTGCCGCAACGCATCGTGGGCTTTAGCTTTCATGATCATCTTTCTATCTAGGAACTATATAGTTCGTAATTTGGCTTTAGTCAAGAATCTGGTAGTAAGCAGAAACAAAGACACGATCTTTCACATTTCTATTATATTTAATAACTGTTGTGGAACTTCTTTTGGTTTGTCGTTGAAAAAAAAAAGGTTTTTCTGAGTCTGTGTGATGCAATAATAACTATTTATAACTGTAAAAAGTTATTGATAAGAAAGAATACAGTTTATTTTTATTCCTACCGGATGTTTCACTGAACAGACAGCCTTGCTGTCTGTGGATCTAGATACAACCCACACTCGCGACAATAATACTTAATAGAAAACATAACTTTTTTTAATCTCGAGATGTTTCATTGAAGAACGCAGTAGGGCAAGGCTGTCTCAGCATCCAGGTACAACCCACACTCGGGACAACAATATTAACAGGAAAAATAACATTTCTCTGATCGCATAACGTATTTCAGCCGTTCAGATTTCTCTAGTATTTTTTTTTATCTTTGATTTAAATAGTGTCTTAAATCCTCTTGAGGTTTGTCCAGACACTATTGTTCTCTATACAAGTTTTTGACACAAGTTCTGATTACCTGACTAGCGTGATTCTAACAAGCATTTATCTTCAGACCACAATAATCATACGAGTGTAATAGGGATCTATTATGCTATATTAGATCTCTCTTGGAATATACTAATTCAACTGCTGCACCGACTGAGAAACATTTAGAGCAACCGATACCTTTGAGGACACAGACATACATGCTCAATTAATAGGTATGCGTTTGTTGTTAGTTCGCAGAGATGGTCTATTAGAGGTAACATAACTCGAACATTCCCTGTAAATTTGCTTTGACGTTCGCTACAATATTACTGATATAATGATAATTATAATGCTTAATTCAATACAACATACATCTGTTTCCGCAATTTATTACACCGATCTTGTCGCGACAAGGAAAAATTTCCGTGCTTTTAAGCGATTTTGTGAAAAATATTATTGGCAGGTAGTTGCTAATTGCTCATAAGATAGGCCCCCTTAATTTAATTTATTGTCCGTGTTGCATAATTTTTTCTTAAAGGTTTTAAACCTTTGTTTGTCACCTGTCATCCGCTTTGCAATGGAGGGAAGTCGAACCTTACTTTCGAACTCCTCCTATGTTCTTCTGATTAATTTCGTTACGGGTCCAATGACAGTTTAACTTTCCCCCGGGACAAACTTGACCTTTATTGGTTGGGTTTTTGTGGCGGTCAAGCTGTAGATCCTGGCTACACAGGAGTTGCAGTGGTGGGAACGAGAGGTGGGAATAGTCCCGTAGGTACAATATTACTGAGACAAGTTGTCGTTAGTCCATGAACCCTTGCTCTAAAACAACATTGCGATACTCATTGAAATCTGGAAACATTGAATTTACGGATAAATCCAGTTTATTATGTAACCTATTTATTGATACCGTTTGATCTCTCTCATGAAGCACTTTCAGGATCAGTAACCAGTTTTTCGATATCTTGTATAGTTCAGAAATAATCGAGTGAGATCACTTAACGTTTCCACCCTGTATACAAAGCCTTGTCAGTTGAGAATTATCACGTGCTGCGTTAATACTCAGCTATTGAATGATCACATTCATAACAAAGTGTTGATGAGTAAGTTTCTTTTTCGTTTATATCAGACACTTATACCTAAAAACCATAAACAAACGTTGCAGCAATAATATTGGTACAAAAATTCGCTGTAGTAAAATTGTTTTTACTCAACTGAATCCCAAAAAAATCTGTTGATGCAAAAAGTCAAACAATAAAGTCATAAACGTGACTGCTTCTCAAAAGAAGTCTTTCAGTTACAATGAACAAAAAACTGAAACAATGGCCCCCAAAAGAAACTTTTTGATTGTTGCTCACGAATAAAAAAAACACAATTCACATTTTCATGAAAAATTTTAAAATGCCATAAAAATTTCACTATGTTTATATGTACATATCGTAAAAAGTACGCTTAGCCAGTAAATGATTGACACTGCTGTGTTGAGGTGTCTTATTTATAGAACTTCACACTAAATTGGGTAGGTATACGACCAAGTCTAGTCTAAAATAGTTATTCGCAAGAATATTCAACATGTACAGCAACAACCGTTCCGAATTTCACATCTTCGCTAACGTGCTTGTTACGCCACGTATTTGGTTCAGTACAAAGCCGACACGTCCAAATTAATATGAACCTGCCCGCTACAGTGTTACGGCGGATCCAAGCATAAGGGGAACCCATTAGAGGACCACATATCCGTACTGCTAGCTCCAAGACCACATCATTAAAAATGTTAAGTAATTTTGTTTATTTTCACCTCTAAGACAAAAAGTAGAGAGTATACGTCGAATTAAATGTACTCCGTCAATAAATACATTCATACCTATACTTGTTCAATATTTTTTCAAAGATTTCAAAATCCAGTTCTATGTAAATGCAACACCACTCAAAAATAGGACAGATAAGTTCAAATACAATTTCCATGTACTCGTGTTAGAGCTGGTGGCCGCCTTTGTAAGTCTCAAATCAATTTATTTGAAACTCACAACAAAGAAAATATAAAATAAACTTATTTACTTTTCTTATAGCAAGACAAATGTCGACAATTCAATTTCCTCAAAGTGCTCTATTATGAGGTTATTAGTTTTTCCTCAAAGCAAGGAAAAATAATTGAATAGACGACTTTTAATAGGAGGCAAGTAATATTGTTATATTATTATGTGCATGACATTGGACAAGCTAGTAAATAAAAGCGCTCAAAACCTACCATCAATTCGAAAATGATGTGTTTGTAGAATGAGGCAAACTAACAAAATCCTTCATCCAGATGACCTGAATCTCGATTTGTAAATAAACAAACAACCAGATCCAATAAAAGTTATGATTTGGTGTGTCGCATTGAGATTTAGGTTAGGAAATACAATATTGTATTCCAAATTCCTGTTTATACACGCAATCTGAAATTTTATAGATTTGTTCTTACTAATAAGCCTCTCTCTAAAACACTAAGCGTTTTACCTCAAGCCTTCGTTGAGTCCGCTTTATCTTTCCTCGAAGTTACGAGAAAATATCAAGCATGTAGGCGGAAAGCTCTAAACTTATCCGACCTTTAAAGCTTCGACGAATGAAAACAACACTTTTCTTGAGGCATTACATTTAACATATTTGAAAATAAACAAATAATTACTTACCGGTCGTCTTCCAACTCGTAGAACATATCTTTGGAGGAGTCGTGAATGTAGATTTTGACCAAAGGACTATCCATGTACTGCATAGTGAGTTGTTTGGGGAAACTGCGAACGAAGAGCGCTTTCACTGTATCTATGGACGTGATCTCGTTCGGTAGCAGCGCACGCTTTGTCTCGTTCCTGTATTGCAGGAACACCAGACCTGCAATAGAAATTCCTATATGAAATGTGACACTGTTCAAATATTTCGCATTAGATAGGATGGTGGATAATGCACTTTAAGATCATCCGTTTAATATAAACTACTGATGAGTAGGTAATTTACTTTTACCTCTGTTCTATGAAACTCAGTATTTTAAGCCAGTCGCAAGAAATGTTTAAGACCGGCAATGTTGTCTCGAATATCAACTTAATAATATTCATTGCTAATACTTTATATTTGTAACTATAATTTGTTCAAGTAAGTTCGCAAAATATAAAAATTCCTTGAGTTTAAACATATTATTTTGTTACTAGAATTTGTTCAAGCAAGTATTTGTTCGGAGGTAACTTCGCAAAATACAAAATTCCTAGAAATGAAACAATAGTGTTCCAAGTATTGAATTAATACCCTGTGATTGACGTTAAGCCCAGTGGTATTATTTTAGAGTTAGTTTTCAATTTTTAAAATGGTAACGGGTCATTTATTTAGGTAACTGAACACAAATTCTAACTGAAGTTGGACAAAATTAAAAGACCTAGGTGATATTAATCTGAATATCATTGGACAACTAACAACTTTCTTTATGCGTGCAACTGTTATGTCAACACTAAAGAACAAACTTACCTTGCAATACAATACAAGGTAAGATAAAAAAAAATCTGTCAGTGAGTAAATGTAGATGCAGTTCCTTGGCATCAAGCGAACAAACAGTTCTATGCAAAGACGGTAGCACCTCAAGGCATACACTATCACAGTGTAGTAGCAAAATGTGCTGTTTTCCAACAAAAATCTATAGTCTGACTATTGACAAATATTGGGACTCACTTCTAGCCAACATTTGCTTGCTCAAGAAAACATTTTAATGATCAAGACAACGACTAAGAATATACAAATACATATTTTCTCCATAAGGTAAGAATCATAAATGATGGACGTCATTTATGATCTGCTGGACAAAGGCCTCCCACCCAAAGATTTCCACAACTACCGGGCCTACGCTGCCGGCATCCGGGTATTTTCCGCTGTGATCATCCTCGAAGTCTAAATCTGTTTCAAGATTTTTATTCATACTAAGAAACTTTCAAATTCATATTCTTTTCCTCTTCAGGCAGAGCCGATTTAAATAAATGCGACGTAGGAGATGAAACGGCCAATTTCATACCGCACTACAGGAAATCGACTTGAAATCATATTCAGTCAGAATGCTTGGAGCGAAATAGCAAAACTTCACAGTACATACGTCACGTTCTTAAAGTCATACATTATTTCCTTTTATTTGGAACAGGACTGTTCCAAATGAAAATCCGGATTTCAACTATTAAATTCTGCAAATCGAAAACTAATTGCATTTCAAAAAATATTTTTTATTACAAATACCTGACTTGTTCGTGTTAGCAAAATATTTTTAAAGAACACTTTAAAAATCAAAGCTCCGGAAAAATTGAAACGAATATCGAATAATAGGTAACTTAAAAATATTCATTTTGTCGAAACACAATTTCTATGCCTTTTGATTTGTTAAAAGTTATCAGTGTAACTAGGAATTCAAAATTAAGTGCTGGCTGGAGGAATAAAAGTTTATTTTACGTAGTGTACCTACGCATATCCAAAATTCTCAAACTCGATATCTACAGGTAAATGTTTGTGTGAAGAGCACAGGCGTAACTAAAGGGAGGCTATTAGCATAGCTGGGCATTAACTCGTTAATCCGTTAATCGTTAATTAACGAAGTTAACATTTCTATTAACGAATTAACTTTTAAGTTAACTTTAAAAAATGTTAACGGACTCGTTAACTTCCGTTAAATTATCCTAAGTCCGTTAATCGTTAATCCAGTACCTACTATTTACCAAAAAGATACAGCAGGCACGCTGAAAAACGCTAGAAAAACGCGTTCTAACAAGTACGTTCGGGCTTCCAGAACTTTCAGAACCCAAAACAACAGTTTTTGTGACCAGATCACTAACGACACTTGTTAGTATGTGTGGGACAACTCTTGCAATTGAATTTCAGACCAGTTTTTCTCAACCGATTGAGATGAATTTTTTTATACTTGTATGTAAGTAAACGAAACGGTAGAAACTTATCGAGTTTGGGCAGGCCTGGCTCACTCCGCGCGGTACATCCGATAATTACCTACAGCGAAGCGCCCCGCCGGCGGGTATTATATCAGTCGAGTGTCACGCGCTCGCCCGTCAGGACGCTGGCGTGCGTTTTAGTATGATTATAATTCTATGATCGAAGTATTATTTAAAAATGGACATAAAGAGAAAGAAATATTGTGCGGCGTTCGGGTGTTTAAATTCGAAAAGAAATTACCGGATTTATCTTTTTTTTTCGCTTCACAAAGATGCTGAAAGGTATGTTGGCCATGTAGGTAATCAATAATAAAATTCTTAGGATAGTATAGGATTCTTTTTTTTCTGTAATAGTATGTTTAATTTATCTGTCTTATGTTAAAATAGGTATGAATGAAGACATTGTAATAGAACAAGTTTTTTAAATCCTAATTAGGTATATTTGAAATGTTATTTTTACTTACCTACATACGTACCTCATTTAAAATAAGTAGATTAATTATTTTTTCACTAAACAGCAACCCTAACAGCGGAAGAAGAGTTCAGAGGCACGCGATAGAAAGAGACAAAACTTGTAGGTGAATAAAATTGTAGGTACGTAGTGCTGTGCGAGCTGAATTCCACTGTATCGCGTCGCAGCAAGACTCGCATTTATTTAAATCGTCGTGCGGAGTAATCCTTCTGTACCTGTACTATTACTTATTCTGTGGTTTGGGGTTGCTGGATTTGTCTTTTCGAGCACTTTGGTGCTAAATTGTATTGTAATTGAACCAAGGCTCTGAGATTGAGATACTACTAAAAAGTGTAAAATAAAATTATAATAATAGGGATGATGACTGGGTAATTAAATCGAAATTCTATTTAGTCCGTCAGACAGATAATTATAAATTATTACTCATATTTTTTAATTTTTTCCATAATCCAATAATTACAGTATTATATTGAGTTGAAATGTCGCGTGACGTCACTTTTGAGTAAAAATTCTACTCAAGCGTGCCTTATCGCGCCATTTCAACTCGATGTAGCACTGTTATTATTTNAATATAATAAAAAACATCATTTATTTTTAAAAGTGCACATACAAAAAAGATCAATTAGTTTTTAGAGGATCAAATAATATTGTCCCTTATTTAATTATGAAAGAAAATAAAAAATATGAGTCTAATATTTTCTAATTATCTGTCTGACGGACAAATAATTGAAATGTTGTCATCTAGCCTATTAAAAAACTTTTTAAAAACAAGCTTTTATTCCGAAATGCAGTTGTACTAAAACGAAAAAAATCATTGTAGGTAGGTACTTATGCAAGGTTCAAATAATTTTGAAAGCTTGTAGCGCAAACATGCGCGAAATTATTTGAACCTTGCATACAATTATTTTTTTCGTTTTATTATCATGTGTTAACGGATTAACGATTAACGTTAACTTGCGTTAAATCTTGCGAAATGTAACGTTTTAACGTTTAACGAAGTTAATTTTTTTATTAACGGTTTAACGATTAACGAAGTTAACTATTTGATTAACGGTGCCCAGCTATGGCTATTAGTACCACTATCTGGACTACGGTTACGTCTTATAAGTTAATTGAAAAAAAAAATCGATATTTTCAAAGTCAAATTAATACTACGTTGCAACCTAGTAATGGCTTCATCGATCTTTTTACTGTTTCACACTGTTCAAAGTCTGTTGCATGTTTCATTTAACATCGATACGGTAAGAAAAATATGAAGGCCGAAGTTATATTATTCTATTTGGAAAATATGAACTCAGGAAAAGCTTTCATTAATTCCAGTGGGTCTAGACAAAGTGCAAATTATAATCGCAAACCAGTCGCAAAGTGGTCAAAAAGCCCCTTTTTTGTATGGAGTTTTGACGGATTCGATTTTCGATTCGATCAAAAAGTGCGTTTTGTCTAGGGGGGCAGGCTGTTTTTCAAATAAGAACATGTCACCTCTCTAAAGTGTTTTCCGATGCGGAATGCTTATTGTGTGATAAGGTACGCTAAAAATGGGCCAAAAAGAAATTCTTTCAATGTCACTGTATTATTAAAAACAATACTGAAAAATACATCCGTAATGCCATAATATTATGTCGAGTGATTTAGGTAGTATCTCGATAATATACCTAATTAGATGACAAACAACAAACTTGTAATCGTCGGTCATCCTTTGCATAGACGATAATAATATTCAGGGACTGAAACTGTCACTACCGTTATTACATAATGTACAAATATTATTTTATTACTTTTTTATCACCTGGCATCTGTTTAATAAACTTTTAAAAACAGTGTTCATGAGCGTTATTAACTATTTTAATATAGCGCAAACTTTTTGCGACTAACGAATACGAGTATGAGCCAGCAGTTCAAATGTGGCTGGATGTGCAATGTGATATTTGAATGTGAGTCAACTCGCTAAACAAAATGTTAAGTATGGTGAGACTGTTTTAAATTCAAATACATGTAACTTTGAAATGAATTTTCTGGAATGTCGCATGCAGCTACATGAAACACGTATTACTGACTAAATCGACTACTCCATTTTAAACGTTGTAGTAGTAGTTGTAGTCTTAATATATTGGATACAGTGGAAATTCGTCAATTTTATCGATGAAAATACTTCAAATTTGGGGTTTGACCCATTTCTCACAAAATTACAAGGATTTAAGTTTTTAATTTTTAGTATTCACCTCTTCCTTCAAAAATAAGTTCCTTATATGGCCGTACCGCCCGGCATATGTGGATAGACATGCCGGGCGGCACGGCCGGCGGCCAACCCGGCGGTCGTGCATCTTTTACTGGCAAGGCAGACTGAAAGCCTTCGCCAAACCCGGCGGCATGTGTGGATGCGCCATAACACTAATAAGCAAATATTTTATATCATGCGATATCTAATAAGATTATCTATTGGGAGAAGTAGA